ATTATTGTTATTATTATTATTATATTATTATTGTCTGGCACAGATTTCCAGGCACACTATTTCTCGGAAGCATGCGTGAAGCCCGACCTGAAACTGGAGGATACCTGCCGGAGAGACACAAGCATGTTGTACGTCCTCATTGTCTGCTGCACGCTCGTCATGGGCCTGCTCTTTAACAGCTTTACCATGCGGTAAGTAAGTAAGTAATCATGATACCTCTCTCCCTTGCTCTCTCGCTCTCGCTCTCGCTCTCTCTCTCTCTCTCTCTCTCTCTCTCCCTCTCTCTCTCTTTCTCTCTCTCTGTCTTTCTCTCTGTATGTGTGTGTGTGTGTGTGTCTCTCTGTGTGTGTATGCGTGTGTGTATACCTGTCCATCAGTCAGTCTGTGTGTGCGCGCGCGCATGTGTGTGTGTGTGTGTGTGTGTGTGTGTGTGTGTGTGTGTGTGAGTGTGAGTGTGTGTGTGTGTGAGTGTGTGTGTCTGTTTGAATGTCCATGGCCAAGTTCTGCCGTCCTCCGTCTTTTATCACGTCATTATCTTGCTTGCTATTTGTGCCTCACGTCATCTGTCTCCTTGCAAATGATTTCTTTAGGGATTAGACCCACCCCTCCCTTTCCACCTTTTTCTTGCTCTCTTTCTTCCCCTTTTATCACACCCTCTCTCTTACCGCTCCCTCTCCCTCTTACCCCCCCCTCTCATCCCACCCTTTCCATATTTGCTTCCATTGGTCATAACCGATCTACAAACTCTTTATAAATTATTGACAGGAGCATTAAAAGGACTGCACACTTGTTCGACTTGTCAGATAGGTAGGATCAAATCCTTTTAGGAAGTCTGGTTGGCCAGTGCGCTCACTTCTGACGGAAATTGGATTGAACATGTGTTGTTTCTGCATGATATGACACCATCCTTTAAAAAAAAAACACAAAAAAAACCTCCCCCCTTCTTCAAACAAACAAAAATAAGCCAATGTGATATGGTATACGGTGGGCTCAAACACCCGTGCCAACTCTGAAATGTTTACTTTAGAGGTGGAACTTTCATCTTTGACGACCATCTTCGATTATGAGGAAGCTAGTTGGGTGGAAAGCCTTGAAAGCTCTCCAAGCTACTCAACTTCAAAACCACCCGGGGGGGGGGGGGGGGGGGGGGGGCTCTCGTACCCCATAGTTTTAAGTGCTGGCGTTGGCCTCTCATTCGAAGGTCCTGGGTTTGAATCCGGTTAGCAACCGTAAAATTTTTCGTCTCCTTTTTCTGCCCCCACCCCTTCATCTCCTTTGCCCACTCCTCTGGGCTCCTGACTCTTTCTAAAGCCTTTCTACTGCTACTCCTTGACCCCTTCTTACTGCTGTCTTTCAGCCACACCCCTGATCTTCTGGTAGGAAAGATCTACACCTAGCCTTCTCGGACAAGGGCGAAAAATCTTGGAGGGCCCGTGAGCAAGTTGCGGACGTTTAAGATCCTTGGTGGTCTAAAATCGACAAGAGTAGGCTTCGGCTGCCACCCTGGCAAAATTCAAAAATTCCTACCAACTCACAAAGTTTAATGTGTCCCGCGCGCTCATATGACCTTATGCACTTGCGAGCTCCGTAAAACACTTACAAAAAAACACACAAAAAAACCACAAAAAAAACAAAAACAAAACAAAACAACCCTACCCCGCTGGGGCTTCGAACCAGGACCATCCGCATTGTGTAGTTCTGCATGAAGCCGACTGAGCTATAGGTGCGCCTCAGGGTACTTGGAGGACGCCAATGATAGATCTACCCTTGGTAGGTCACACTACTACTTATTTCCTTTCCCTCTATTATTTCTGTCTGTATGGTGGGTAGGAGGGTGCCACTGGTTACTCTTAATTCTTTCCTGTAGTACTATTATCCTTGTTCGTTCTGTATGTTTCACCTTTTCCTGCATTAAATGACCGTTATTGTATCGATGTGCTTCTCTTCACCAAATCTGAAAGTGTTAATTCCGAATTTCCATTTTGATTTCTCGGCCCATACAACATTTTATACCACCTAACCTCCTCCACTCCACTCCCAGACACTCACTCATACACAGACCCTCACTCCTTTGTATTGATGGATGCATTTAAACCTTTATACATATTTCAAAAAATGTTTTTCAACAGATCGGATCGCCTTGTGTCAGGTTGGCCTGTTTATGAATTTTTGCGAATTTACTCACGGGCATCCAGCAGACCATGCGAAATCAGGAGTGAGCCAGGAAAGTGTACACCAGCAATAATGCACGTGACTAATGTGAGAGTTAGGGTTGACTATTAGTGGAGTAACGTTATATAGGCTGGTGGTTCTTGCGGTGAGATGTTTGACTAACTCCTGTGTGAACGTGTTGAAACGGAATGATGTCATTGATGTGGCAGCTGATGGTTTACTCTCTCTCTCTCTTTCTCTCTCTCTCTCTCTCTCTCTCTCTCTCTCTCTCTCTCTCTGCTGATATTAGCACCACTAATCCCCGTCGGTCTTTTTTCCCACACAATCTCAGACACGGAAATACACACACACACAATCACACACACAGTGGCACACACCTCATTCTTTCTTATCAAA